AAAAAAAAAGAAACAAATCGTTTATAACTTTGAAACCGTCAACTTTTCGATTCATGTGTTTATTAAAACTTTTTCCCATGTTTCGGCGAGTACTATCTACCCTCTTTTCTATTCGAACGAGATTTTGTCTGGAAACGAGATCGATTAAAAAATAGACGAAAATTGCTTTGGAAGTATTCTCTCAGGTTTCCATTATGGAAGTTTTATGTTTCTCGTTTCGATCGTTTCTCCGTCGTCGTTGAAATCGTGAGAAACGGCTGGTAGAAAATTGCGGAAGGAAATTGGAAAATGAGTAGAACGTTGACGTTGAAATTCAACGTTCGAGAAATTTTTGAACATTTCAAGACAACATTCTGCTACTTCTATTTATTGTTAGTTAGAGATTTTGCCTTTACGAGGTTTTATTTTGATGTAAAATTAGATATATGATATACCTTAAATTCTATAATTTTCTACGATCTACGACAGTATTTTATTTCAACATTCTTTGAAATATTTCAAGCTTCGACATTCGATTTTTTTTGCCATTTTGTGTACTGTGTTAAAAGATGATAACTCGACACAGTGAATTCATGCTTAAATCTAACAACTTGCGCACAAAAGTTTGCAAAATCGGTTCTTCTGTTCTTCGTGTCAATGCCACGACATCCACGTGGATACTGTGTGTGAAGAACGATATCGAAAATATACCACGAGAGAGGTTTCGACGTCGAAAACCAGTCACGTACTGCTAAACTTGGAAAACCGAGGAATTCGACGGGTAAATAAAGAAGAATGAAGGATAAAGAGAAACGTTACGGATCACTGGAGAATATCCCGAATCAAAACGAAAGATATATATTATATAAAAAAAAAAAAAAAAAGAATATACGATACGACGGATTACATTTACACCGAATCACGTAAAATAAAATTTCGTGAAATCTGCAGAATCTTTCCACGAAAGAAATTTCTACGAAAATTACAAATTACTCTGATAGTTTTAATATCGAGTTAACAAAAAAAATACACCAATAATAATTTTGTTTTTCAACTTCATTAACATCGAGAGTAGTTTATTACAATCTGAGAATTCATCGCTATAGCAAACATTTTCGATTTTATTTCGTATCATTGCACAAAAGATTGAGCAAATGAGGAATTTGCATTTTGCACGACAGTTGCAATATTTGCCCGGTAAAAACTATCAATATTTTCCTATCAATATTCCAACTCGAGCGATCAAGACAGTGAAATGGCAAAAACGAAGAGTAAGTACAGTGACGGCCGTCGAATACCATCGCTGGTTTCAGCTCGTATTATTAAGCCGCATCGCGTGCAAAGGCAAAGGAACAACCGCGTGTGTCGATGCACGTGAAATGCAACGAGCGTGAATGTCGGTACGCGGTTTCGTTTAAAATAAGAGCTGTCCGTGACCCGAGGAACGTTGCAGGATTTGCACGAAGCTCGGGTGCAAGTGCAGGGTCAAGTGCAGCGGGCAACCTGCCAGCCATTCGACGTAACCTGGTCGTTCGACTTCCTGGTTCGTTCAGAAGAACCAGTTGAAAAATTATCCGGAGCTTCGAGAGCTCCACCCACGCGAAATATTCAAATCACTTGAATTTACGTCAACTCACTTTCTCTTTCTCTGCCTCTCTCTTTTTTCTTTTGAGTATATACTTTTCTTCCTCTCCTTTTCTAAATATATCTTTTTAAATAAATCTCAACGCTCGCTCACTGTCAGCGACTATTCGCGCTAGCCCGCGCGTGTATTTTTATCGCGTCTCGCCTCTGAAAGATTGCCTCGGAACCTTGGCGCTAAACCTCGGCCATGAAACTTCCAACGTCAATTTGTTTTGGTAAACGCAAAGCTCCGTTTGATTGCTCGGATTCAAAACTTGTTGCCGTTTATGCAAATAGCAAGATACTTGAATGCAAATGAAGCGACATCAAGAGGCTGATCCCAGTTGCACCACTCGTTCACTCATGTTTTATTTAATATATCTTGCCATATATTTACTTCGTTTGCCGTCTTCCACGTGGAATTTCGTGAAATACAACGATATAACCAACAATTTTATCATTTTCCATTTCTTTCCTCGTCGGTCGCGTCGGAAACGTATTTCAAGTTTCTCTCAGAGAGGCAAAGTAAATGACAGATTCACACTCGTCAGGAAGTTTGTGATATTCGAGGAATCGAGCGGCGAGATTCATCGTCTCTGAGACGAATTGCTTTCGATTTAGAGAGTTTCGGATCTGCAGAGTTTCACCCTGCATGTCCGCTACTTTTTACCTCCACCGTAAGAAGTACGCAAGAAGTGCAACAAAGGTAGGAGAGACGTATGAAAGTTCGATCGTCGTGTTGACCAAGCGGAAAGATGCGGGTTACCTTGGAATCAGAGACGCGCCAAGTGGCTGCGAGTTCGAGAAGTACGTATCTCGAGCTGTGAGGTATTGATCCACGGCTGTTGCAGGAAAAGTTTCTAAGATTCTTTGCTGGCGTTTCTCCGCTTCATACTTACGCGAGATTTCATCCTGAGTGAGATGCTGCACGCTCAAACGCTTCGAACCTGGAGCAAGTTGATTGAACCCTTAAAGTAAATTGAATGCTGTTTTCTTCAAATCTAACTATGTATCTCTGTTGACGTTCATTTTTTTTTTCACATTCTGACGCAATTAGAAAATATATTCAAGAAATCACATAACGATGAATTTGACATTTTGCAAGTGATTTGCGCGAAAAAATCTAAACATTTATCATAGAAAACTTTCAGATATAATAGGTCATTCGGGAGCGTCGGTTAAACGTAATGATTTTTTTCGCTCGAGTTTGGACCAAACCGTATCAAACTGAACCAAGCTATACTCCTTTTATAGCCGCTCCAAAAATATCGAATCGGTCAATTCAATGAAACCCTTGAATTATCTGTTTTAGCCATTGCAAACACACGCTGTTCCCTTCAAGAGACAACTCTTCTTTCACAACAATAAAAACTTCTGCTTTTGTACTACGTTTGCGCGAGCACGCGAAGAATGCAAAAAAAAAAAATCTAAGGGACAGTTTAAAATTCTTGTCGAACGTAGAAAAAGTTTTAATGGACAGTTTGAGATTTAATATAAACTTACCCTCGAAAAAAATATTGCAGATGGAAAACCACTTCTTGAAAATGCTTCAAATCCCCGAAGGTCATAACCACTCTTTAGGGTAAATCCGTAAACCCTGACCGCAATCTTCTTTCCCCGAACAGATTGAAATTTACAAGTTTCCCCGTGCAGCATCCCTAAGAAACTAATCGACATAACCGTTTCACCGTGGCACTCAGAAATTCGAGGGAAATTTGAGAAAGTTGAGAAATAACTCACGAGCATGATACACTGTGTCACCCCTCCCCGACTTTCTACTTCACGTTCTTCAATTTGTCATAAATTTTCAAACAATTTGCTCTTTCTTTATAAAATAAATTCTACGAAATAAAATATTATCTTAAAATAAATTTGACTTATTAATTTAAAATTAAATTTTACAAAAATTACTTTGTTTCATAAACCATGGTAACGCTCGAGAATCTTGATCAAAAATTAGAGCGAGAAGATGCGACACATTTAACGATGATTAATCGATCGCCTTTTCAATGCCGCTCTCACACCCGTGAAACGCAATAAACGCAATTAATTGGAAACACAAACGCGGCTAAATTTCCGAATCGAATCTGGACTTTATCGTAGGAATTGAAGCGAGCCAGTATGCGTGTATCTTTCCGTACGAGGAGACGAACGACGATTCGACGACAGAATCGTCGCATTAAGCACACGTCCTCGAGAGTGGCGCGCGAGCGAATAATTAATATCTCGTTGGCTGATTCAGCGGGCATTCCTGTGCACGCGTTGCCGGCAGATCGATAATCGAAGTAAAACGGTGCGATAGTGACCGCGGCCTTCTGGGAAATCTAGAAAACAGCGACGAAGGAAGCACATCCGCTCGAGCTCGTGGGTTCAAGGACGTCGACGCAGACGCCGGGCGTCACTCTGTCTCCACGCGGACGCTCGAGCTTCCTCGAGGTGAATGGCGATTCATCGAATCGCGTCCGAGCCCCTTTCACACACTTCCGAGATGAAGGAAATCGAAGGAACTCGCCAAGTCTGGTCGCCAATGAAATTGAGTTTTTCGCGTCGACGAGCAAGATGGTAGCAAGAAATTTATTGCTACACGCCATACATAGACGAGAAATAAAATGCACGGTATGTCGATGTTTCTATCGTCTATCGTACATGGTGCGCGCGTTCGACTTCGCTAACACTAACGCGTCAATGCGCGCAAACTCCAACGGATTTGAAACTCGGAAATTTGAAAAATTACTGCGAAAGGAGGCGAGCAATGGAAATTCTGGTTGCACGGGGTCACGAGAGAATTTCCTTTCTGCTACGTTCCGCCTCTCGCATTCGAATGAACATCGACGTCTATGTTTAAGAACGTGCCACCTTCTCCTTTCTCGAGAGCCGAGGGGGAAGATGGAA